TTAGGGCACATTTATTCACTTGTTTATCATTTTTGGGTATAAACACTTAACAAGCAACATGCACTCCTTTGTTTTCATTTTCTTGTATCTTTAATTCTCAAGTTCTGTCTCTCTGTCTCCCCAAAAGTATATTTCTTCCGTACTAAATTATAAGATATTTTTAAATAAAATTATATATAATAACATAATTTATTAAATATATTTTATAATTTTATTTTTCCAATGCTTATATAAATTGGGATTCAAACCTCCTTTCTCCCCCACAACATCCTTCTTACCCAGTGGGATTTTCCTTGAGAAAATTATCCCTTCCTCTCGTCCTTCCTACTTGTTGCCATTACCCCTACCACTGCCACTATCTTCCTCACCTACACCATTACCTCCTTTCCCTCCAATATTCCTTTCTCTCTCACTCATCCTCTTCATGGCTTTGTCTCCAATAATGTTCTACTTTATTTCCTTTGATTTTATTTATAAAATAGGGAGAAATTTTTTTATCCTATTTATAAGTTACATCAATAAATTTTCATCACAAAATTTCTCGTTACCCTCTATTGAACATTGAATAGAGAAAATATATTGTTAAAATATATATATTTAATAAGGATAAAGTTAAGAACTTATTAAATTTTTAAACAGAATTAATAAGTTTTAATATTTTTTTATTTTGGTAAAATGTATTTAAAGTGACTTATAAATACGATGAAAAAAAATTTGTGAGAGGGGTTGGGCATGCAAAGCAGAAGTTAATAGTAAATTTTTTTGATTATTCAGTCATTCAGATCATCCAACTCTATTCGCTTTCTAGGTTTGAGAGAAATTAAAAATGCGGATAAAAAAGATTGACTAATTTTTCCCCCTCTGATACACATTCAAAAACAAAAAAGCAACTTGATGATAGACAAAATTGAATTCTCAAGTCCGTGTACGTGGTGAAATTTTGCATTCATGGAATAAGAACGAAACCCATATTCAAAAAGCTCATGTCACTCTCACTACCTCGTTCAGATCAATCTGCTCCATGGACGTTGGAATCAGACATGTCTTAATTATGACAAGAGAAGTTGGAGAGACTGTGGTATTAATTGTTGAAACTGGAAACACCTAAGACGCAGATGGTTATTCATTTGCTAACAGTGGCTCAGAACCTCTTTTGGCAAGAGATGTTGGGGAAGAAAACGAAATAGCATAAATGGTGTAGACAAAACCATAAGTTTTGTACAGAATCGTATATTTTCTTGATAATAAACTGTGTAAGGTGTTTCACCATGTATAACTTATAACAACTAATATATAAATGACAAGTGTAAAGTTGAGAAGTACTCCCTCCATTAAAAAACGTAAAGTACTTTTAAATAAATTTCACCCATTAATAAATTAATTACTTGTTTTTAAGCTAATTATATCTTTCTATTTTTATTTTTATTAATATGGTGTTTGACCTTAAAATAAATATAAAGTAATTTATTTAAAAGAAAAAATTTTAAAAAAGGTAATTATTATATCTTACAAAAATAAAAATGCCTTACATTTTTAACCATTAAAAAATATTTTAATAAAAGAGAGTATCTAGAATCAAACTTAACTTTGTGCCTGTCACGTGACAATCCAAATTTAATTTAAATAATTTAAATTTAATATTAAAGTTTTTATAATTTTTATAAATTGATAGTGCAAATTTACTATAGACAATTCATATTTAAAGTTTTTACCTTACAACTTTATTTTAAAAAATATTTTTTTGAGAGTATCAATTTAAAGATTATCTTTATTTTAAATATTTTATTTTTTCAAATAAAAATTTATAAAAAATTTAATATTAAATCTGAACAATTAAAAATATATTTTATATATGAATTTATAAAAAATTATTAAAAAATTTAATATTAAATTGAACTGTGTAAAATCTATATTATCCAGAACAATAATGAAAAAATTTATTAAAACTTTATAAAAATTTTATTTTAATAAAAATAATATATAAATATAAATATAAATTTTAAATTTGAATTATCTAGAACTCATCACCCCTAATGAGCTCAAGATGCTCTTGAGGATGATGAGCATTATACTGATAAGCACAATGCCGTTTTATTTCATGATGTGTGTGGGTCCATCGATGGTGTTCATTAGTTTTAATGTTGATAAAATTTGAATCATTTAAATTTTAAATACTATTTCATATTTTTTTATTATATTTATTATAATAAAAATTATACATCATTTTGATCTAAATTTAATTTAAAGAATATAATTTAATATTAAAATATTTATAATTTTTATATATTAATTACCTAAATGTATTTTACATTATTTAAATTTAAAATTTTTAACTTGTAATTTTTTTAAAAATGCCAGTTTTATGTGGTAACTTTAGCTCGACGTGAGAGATGCCTTTGGATTTGTGAAAGCGACCTTCTTATCTTTTCTGCTTATTCGTCACTCCTCAATACCGACAATTTAAATGCCACTGCCTCTCTTTTCTCCTATTCAATTTTACTTTTATGCATTATTCATTGTTTTCCTCTTTTATTATTATTGCATTTGTACGCCTTTCATAATTAATCATTCTATTTATCCTTTTAAATAGTTAGTAAATTATATGTTACTATTTTTTGTTAATTTCAGTTAAATCATTCTCAATGAGGCCCAAAAAAGTTTATTACAGTCAGTAAACCCAAAATCACGTGGCAACAAGTGCAAAACACAATTCCTCGTCCACACACCCCCAACAATATCAATGTCACTGCACTTCCAAGTACTGTCTTCAAAAATGGCTCCTTTTCTTTCTATGCCTTCTCTTCTTTTTTGTAGAATTTGGCTACGACTGGTATTCCTCTGAGTTTGCCGAACCCACCAGCATTCTTCATGTTTACATAAATAGCTTTATCATCATTTTTTATTTTAAAAATTGATATGATCTTTTATTATAAATATGCTCTTCATATCTTATTTAAACAATTAAAATATTATATATTTAATAATTTTTTGAGCCTAAATATTTTTTATTTAATTTAAAGAGTGCAAGATATTAAGTGTATGGGGTGTGAAGTTGTAAATTTTATATACCTTATTTGTATTTTTTTCCTAAAGATACACCTCCTCAAGCCAACATGGCTCCTGCTTATTAGAGACTATATGTAAAAAATTATTAAATTATAAGACAAAATTAATAAGATTTAATAAAAAATTTTGATTCTAGTAAAACATAATTAAAAGTAACTTATAAATAAGATTAAAAAATATTTTTTAAAATTATTTTCAAGTCAGGTGAAACACGTCCTAAACATTTGGACAAGGATGAGGAGGAGTGGTGGGGTAATGGTGTAAATGGAGATAGGGTCGGTGTCATTGACCAAGACACAATGAGATGCATCTTCAATTCCATAAAAAAAAAAAAGAAAAAAAAATCTAGTGTTATTTTCCTTGCATGTGTAATAAAGATTCATTGATTGTGCAGGGCAGGGCAGTGTCATCCATATGAGTGTTATTTTTCTCTTTTAGGATTTTGTCACCATCACTGTCCTCTTCCCAATTTCAACCATGTCCCTCCTTAAATGTTCACATTCATTACCTATACCTTCCTTCACTTCAAATTTCAACACCACTGTTTCTTTCTTTCTTTCTTTTTTTATTTGTTTTCCCTTATAAGCAAAGCAACACGACCTGTTTCTTTCTTTTTTATTTTCATTTAATTTCATGATTTTCCCAGGTAATAAAAATAATCATGGTTTTTAATTTCTTTTTCAATAACCTTCCAAAAGTAAGGTAAGTAAATAAACTAACGAATGTTGGATTAAAAAAAAACAGCTAGTTTTTTACAACATAATAAATCAATGTTTGAATTTTTACTAAAAGATATGCCTACATTTAATGTCTGATCGTGTTTCAAATAAGATTGCCACAGATAGAATGTTATCTATAAGTAATTTTTTAAAAAAAGAAAAAGCTAAGTAAAGGAATGGTAGGTAGGATTTGTCCATGTCACATTGGCGGATATGATTTTTCAGATAGTCTCTACATTTTTCTCATTTCTCTTATGTCTCGAGCATAAATAATCAACTCCCTCTCTTTTAAACAATATCGAGTAATTAATTATTAATATTTGTAAATTAATTATATTGTAACAGAAATTCGTGGGTCTGATCAATTATATACAAGTTCTTGAGGTTTCATATAATAATAAAATCAAATTTTGCATTGCAAAGTAATGTGGGGAGTTGAAATCAAATTTCTTATTACTATATAATAAAATCAAATTTCTTCAAATTTTCTGGTCAATATCCGGTTAATTACTGGACCATGTGCCACAAAGGCACTTGAAATCACTTCTCATTATTTATACACTTGAGCCTTCTCTCACTTAGACAACATGGAACTTTCTTTTGACACATACACACACAAAACTACAACCAAAAAGATTACTTGTGTATATATAATCATAAGTATATAAATTAAATTGATATGTAAACAATTTCTCTTCCTTGGTTCTGAAGTGTTTTTTTCAGAAGGATTAATTATGACGTAACTACATACATATCCACTGATGTTTACACTAAAACCACTCATATTTGGGGCACATGGTCCAGGAATTTCAACTGCTTTCCTCTAATTTGTAATTTTAATCGACCCACTTATAACTAATTTCTATTTCTTCCCATTTCATATCTCATATTTATTTCATATGATATTGTAATGATATTCACAGTAATCAAGTTATTAATATTCATCCGCTACAGAACCAAACCAAGAAGACCAGACATATATTAATGAAAAAATCAAAAGCACTGCCCACGAAATATACATAAAATTGTTTTCCAAGATACAAAACATCACTGTTGTTAAACCTGTGTTTTCACTGAATCTTCATCTTTGCTGATCCTCGCTGAACTGCTTTAGCAGCTCGAGATCATGGCTGATTTCAAAGAAACTCGATAGCATCAGCAATATATATATATATATATATATAGCATATCTTCATAACATCATCTATCACACACTGCAATTTTCACAGACCATAAAATTATAATCTCTATTACTACCACACAGCACACTAAACCGAATTAAATTACAGTCAAGTGGCGCTAGTCACAACCAGAAGCTCAGAAACATATCAATGGCCGCCGCCAGGGCAGAAAGTGATGACATAGTTAGTATCAGCAGTGCATCTAGCCATGCTGGTGGGGTCATCGTATGCTGAAAAGCGAGCCTGAGGGCACGACATCTTGAACATCATGCAATCCGCCGTCGGCATGAAGGCAGATGATGGACCCCATGGCACGGGTGACATAGCATTAATGGCAACGAAGCCTGAGGATGGTAATCATGAGCATGGTGACATAGAAGGAGCCCAATACTTCCAATCCAACGTACCTAAAGACCCATTACAACATATTGGAGGTCCAATGACAAGAGCCCGAACCAAAGCCATAAAGCAAGCCTTGTTCAGTCTTGTGCAAGAAGTTCAAGAGCTTGGAGAGCATTGGGGCACTCCTCTCAAGCCCAAAGGAGAGCATCTATACGTGTATAATGTATTTAAGATCCAAACTCATGAAGAGTCAAGCCCAAGAGATGCAGACCTTAGCCCAATGCAAGGAAGACTACAAGTTGAGCCTCTTGCAAGTAAGGAGGCATGAAACCCTAGTAAAGAAGTCAAGGGTGGCATGATTTTAAATCCTTTATGATCCCTTGATTGTCTCCTAAATTATTTCCTATTTTAATGGTCCTTTGATTTGATTTTCTATTTTGAGTCTAGTCAAAGGTTAGAATTAATTATAATATTAATTTCTAAATTTTGTAATCCCATAATTTTAGGATCACATCTCCTAAATTATGTGGCTAAATATTTTATCATTATTTTATATTATTTCTCCTTTTAATATTAGGAAATTAGGGTTTTAATTTTAGGAAATATTTTTCTATGAGCCTATATAAATTAGGCATGCTCCCTATTGTAAAGAAGACAGAAGTTGAATGAAATTATTCATTTTAGAGTTTATAACTCTTGTGAGCCTTAGTGCTTTGTGGTGGTATCCCGTGTGAGAAACAGACGTGATCAAGAGCGTGATCAACTCTTGTGGTGTCTTCGAAGGTTGAGGTTCTTAGAGGCAGGTGCTCTAGAGGATCTTTTCCTTGATCATTATCCTATTGTTTACTTCATACCTTTCTTTATTTCCGTCATAAATTTCGTCCCTTTCTTTTTGTTCTTGTGTTTTTGTTTTTTTTAGGGTTCTGTCCCTAAACTAGCACGATTCTGCTTCCGCGTCCCTATTAGCAGAGCAGGCGCTCTTGCAGGCCACCAGCGCTCTCTTGTCGTGAGACCTCACCTGCAAGGCTGCCGGACAAATCAGATTGAGGTCGCTCATCACGCACCTGACGTCGCCGCATGTCCCAGATCCCCCGTACGGGGTGATGGAGACAGGCAGGTTGTAGCCGTCGACAAGGCTGATGGCGTAAGAGTCGTGATGCTTGCCTAGAAAGAACTCCACGAAGGTGGCCGGAGGGGTGCCACCGGTGCCATTGCAAAAGAGGGAGCCGCCGCAGTCCCCGGTTTTGCAGCGACCGCGGCCGGAGGCTTTGAAGGCGCAGCCGTGACGGCCCCAGAAGCGGCCGGACCAGAGAGGGGGAAGCTTTAGAGCGTGGGACATGTTGGGCGGGAGCTTGAAGCCTCCGCGAGCCAAAAGGAGTTTTCCGGCACTGGGTTGTATTCCCGGCCAAACGGAGTGCGAGCATTTGTTATGAAGTGTAACTGATTTCTCTGAAACCACTCAAAAAACAAGAAGACAGAGATTGAGGGGAGAGTGAAGGTGAAAGAAACATAGAAACAGAGAGAGAGAGAGAGGGAGAGTTCCAGCATTGGACGAGATAAAGAGGCAGCCGGATCCCAAGATGATAATGGCAAAGCATGGAATTAGACATAAAAGGGAAGAGTCTTCGCCGGCGTCTCTGGGCTGTGCCGCCATGTTTGGGCTGAACCCTTCCTTCTTTTCTTTATCCTCCATAATCTTTCTTTAGGAATCAAAATTAAAAAAAAAATCAAAAGATGAAAAGCATCATACGGATAATATAAAAATATGATTAAGAGGGACGTGCTTCTCCTCTGGTTAATTCATCGCCCACGCAAACCATGGAGCACGAAAGAGAGGGAGATCACGGAAGGAGAGATTCAAGGAGGATCTGAGTTTGAAGCATGGGTCAGAACTGAGAGAGAGGCAGAGAAGGATTGAGCACTCGAAGGTGGAAGAGAAGAGCCCGAAACGAAGGAAGAAAAAGGAAAGAAGGTATATTGAAAATGAATATAAATGCTCAATGCACGCACAAACCTGGGAACAAAGATTTCGGTCTCAATCTTCTCTCCACACTAGACCATAAGACGAAGCCGCACGGAGGAGGTGGCTGAGACGGCTAAGAATGAGAAACTTGGAAGAGGCGGAGAACGAAAACTGATAGAGGCTCCAAAACGCTAAGGCTAACTTAAAATGCTATGGTAGAATGACATTTAAGATCTATCAAAGAAATTTATGGCAATAAGGATTTAGTCCCAGCTGTAACGTAGCTCATTGTGTCTTTTCGAGCTTTGTTATCCTTTTATTTTGTCTCGATGTAACCCTTCTATCTGTACAATTATTTTGAGTTGAATAATATTCACGTTTCTACAAAAAAAAAAAAAAGGAAATTTATGGCAATAAGTATACATGTATAAGTTTTAATTTGTATGTGATATTTTCTTTTTAAAAAAAAATATGTGGTTATTAAAAACTGAATTTTTAAGAAAACTTTTACAAAAATATAAGTAAAGGTTCAGCTTTTAAGATCATATGCATGTTTTTATAAGACAAAATCTAATGCAAAACTTATAAACTTTTATTGTAATAAATTTTGTTAAAAGGGCCTTAAATGTCATTCTCCCAAAAAACTATGATGGAAAAAAAATGGAAAACTAAAAAGTTTTGATGGGAGTATGATATTCCATATTTGGGTGGATATTAAAGATATTTTGATTAAAAAAGTTATCCTAACATCTCTATTTTATTTTATTTTAATTTTTAATTTAACTATTCTAGTGGCCCAACAAATTTCTCGATTGAAAATGTACTATTTTTTTCCTTTTATTTAAATATGTTTAATTTTTAAACTCAAAATGATATCGTTTTAAGCCTAGTAAAGGAAGAGAAAATGTATAAAATCCAACTCTCTCAATTCATCCAAAACCATGGTTAGAAAATAGGGGAAAATACAATGAAATTCTTCTAAATTATATAAATAATAATTTGATCCTTCAAAATGTTATAATTTCACTGAAATCTCTAAAACTTCTCTGTCATTAATAAATTTATATAAATTATTAAATTATTTTTGTTAAAAATAAAATAATTGACAAATTTTGTTTATATAATTATAATTTTTTTTATATTTATAATAATGCAACAGTAAATAAAAAATTTAAAATGTAAAGTTATGATTTATGGTTGCATTGTTATAAATATAAAAAAATTATAATTATTTAGATAAAATTTATAAACTTTTTTATTTTTAACAAAGATAATTTGATAAAATTATGACATTTAAAAAAATTAAATTATTATTTATATATTTTAGAGAGTTTGTATTGTCATTTTTTTTAAAACAAGAAGTAACATTTTTTGTGGTTTTTGTATTCAGAAAATGACATGTGTGAGAGAAAGCAGAATGTCGAGGCAAGTACGAACCTACGAGTTTGTTAAGAACAAATGTTTTGAAAGAGGATAGGATGTTACAACGAAAGAGCTAATGGTTCTCAATTTTTGCACTTCGACCTCCCTATAATATAATAATTAAATAAAAAATAATATTAAATATATATATATATATATGAAATAAATATAAGATAAAAAATTATATTATGTTAATAAAATGATATAACATGATTATAAATTAAGAATATTATAAATATAAATTATAATTTTATAATTTATCAAATATAGATAAATCTTAGTTAAATTAGAAATGAGAAGACTCAAAAGTATTAATATTTACACTTATAATTATCAACACTTTTATTAAAAAAAGTCTCAAATCATATTTTATGCATATTAGTTGTCTAAAAATAAAGTTAGCTTTTAGTGGGATATAATTTTTAATTTTTTAAAAAAATTAAGCTTTTTCTAATTTTATGTATAAAATTGTTTGATTTTTTGAAAACCTCTTCAATTTTTGGTTCAACTCCTATTTTTAACTTAATAGTGGCTCAACTCTAATTCGGCTCAATTATAAAAATAATTTTTTGGTCTAAATCAAGCTATTAATGGATCCAAATTTAATTGGTCTAACCATCTGATTTGGTCAAATTTTTAAATCATTAGTATAGAGAAAGCAACAGCCTCCACAAATATTTTTCAAATTCTTTAATAAATATATATAATGTGTGTATTATGTACCCCCATCTCATAGGTATTAATTGCCCCTAGTAATAAATAATACTCCATTTATTTAAAAATATAAGATATTTTTAATTAGATTTCACCTCAATAAAATAGTTATTTACTTTTAAATTAACTCTATCTTTTTATATTTATCCCCATTAAACACTTTACAATTAAGTTATTATTAATAAGGGTCACTTTTGAAAAAGAAAAGGTAATAATTACACCTCGAAAAACTAAAAATATTTTATACTTTTTAACATTTAATTTCTTAAAAAATACTTTATATTTTTAAACGGAGGAAGTATTACTTTTTATGCCATTCAGTTTTTTTTATTTTTTATACTTAATTTTCTTGGCTCATGTAGCATTTTATACTCATTATTTTATTTTTTATTATTTATTTTTCTCATTAAAATTGAATTTTTTTCCTTTAGTTTTTTCATTTCTTCCAACTTCACTTTAGTTAAAAAAATAAATCCTAAATAGCATCTTCGTACAATTTTCACGCATTGTATATTCATTGATGTATTTGCTTTTAAAATTAGCTTTGATATTACAAGTGATAACTGCAACAGTTAAAAAGGCTTTTTGTTCTATGGATATCATCAAAAATTATAAGCAAAGTTGCATGAGAGATAAATCGTTAAATAATTGTTTGTTTACTTATATAGAGAAATAATTTTTTGATGGTATCTAAATACAAAAATTATTCGACACTACCAAAATATAAAACCTCACAGGAAAAGATTATTAAAAAAACTCAAAGAAAAAACTTATTATATGTATTTAATTTTTTAATTTATGCTAAAAATAACATGTTTTTTGAATAAAACCTAACAGATTAATTGATTTGAATGGTTCAAATATACAATAATTTAAATATAAAATATTTAAATTAAGAAGAAAAACAAATTGAAATGAGCTTTAAAATATATACAACTTTTGTTCTCTGCAACAAATTGGCACATTTCATTTTGACATTAGCACCATAAAATTAACATAGTATTTTAACATGAAAACTACTTACATATAAAAATATATAGCCAAATAAATGAACATAACAAGGCATTTCCAATTCCATGTATATTCATCTATGAATGAATCTATCAACTTCCCTTTAATATCGTACGCCCATAACGACTCTTCATTACATAAAATGCTCCATATCCTTGGCAACAACATTTTAAATACCCCTTATTCATTCTATTTAATCCAAAGCATAAGAAAAGTTAACACCATAAATTAGAAATCCAATTTAACATGGTGAACTTGAAAAGAATATAATTAAGATATATAAACTAGAACTTCAACATAATAATCAGTGCAAATATATATATATATATATATATATTTGAACAAAAAACCAAGGGCCAAAAAAATGAACAAAAAACTATAGTAGAGGAAGCAAGTAATAAAGAAGGCAACAAATAAAACAAGAAAGGGGAAAAAACAGAGGAAAGACCAGGAATTATTTATAAAAAAATGCCCATAAAAAACTATGCAACAAGTAAACAAAATTCTAAAAATGAGATAAAGAACCAAACATCCAATGTTATAAACTTGATTTGCTAACCTTATACGCAAAATTCAAATATTAAAAAGTTATAACAATTTAGGGTAATTATAACTTGAAAAGAGCTTAACAGAAAAAAAAAATATTTGACTTTAAGAGAACAAAAAGAAAAAGAAAATGGTGGAGAGAAAAACAATTGTGACTTAAAATTCATAACTTGCAAATTCACAAAAACATATCAAAGGAGTTGGAAGAGAGGACTTAAAAAAAAAGATTAAAATAAGGAAGTGAGGACACAACTGTGAGTCATATTTGAAAAAGAATGCTCATCATCAACTTCACATCTCAGTATAAAATATGTCAATCAAATAAGATGTGGAACAAATCACATAATTATAAAGTAGCTCCATTCACAAATAAAAGTAATAAGCTAAAGAACAAGCATCAAAGCTGTTGAAGAGAGATCAAAGAAATTGACAGTTGGACATGGAGTACCTATATATCTACACGCAAGCACATTACTTAGAGAACTCTAACATCGACCCAAGTGGCCAATCTCACTACCCACTTTAAGCAAGTTTTACTAGCAAGACCATATAGCAATGCTTAATGTCGTTTTTATCATACTCATTCTAATCTAGTATTAGAGTCGATTGTGCCTATATTGAATCATGTATTTAGCCGAGTTAAAATAACAGTCCTCCTTAAGATGCATAGGGTTTCTTTCGCATCATCAAGTTGCAAATAATTTCATTCATGATTCTAAGAATAATAAGACTTGATAGTGTAAATAAAAAAGACCATCGTAAATAAAAGTTTCCAAATTGAAAACAAGAACAATTAATACCAAAATGTCAACATGACAAATACAAAGACAAGGAGAAGAAAATAACAACGAAAACATTGAATGAGAAAAATATATCATTAACGCATATATAACACTAGCAATGCAAATCGGCCAGCCTGAAAATGACTTGTATATGATTTCTCATATCTTCCAAGCCCAAAATCAAAAGTGTATCATTCTCTAATGGGATTGAGTTCAAAATGCCTTGCATGATCTCGTGGAACTCATAAGTTTTTATATTTTGATAGTGTTGAATAATTTTTTTTCATTTTCAATACTATCAAAAGTTTATTTCTCTAAGTAACCACAAATCATTCAACAATTTATCTTTCACATGAATTTGTTTATAATTATTGATTACATTCATATCTAGCAGAGAAAACCCTTTTAACTGTTGCAAAACCTCTTCCAAAACCCAATACAGAATCAAAGTAATCTTAAATACCAAAAGTACTAAAAGTGATTATAAACTATATTCTACAGTCCATGGGGAACATTGTAAAAAAGGGAAGGGCATGAGAGATTTAATGAGTTTGATTTTAGTAAACAAAAAAAATGAATAAGTTAAATTTTTTTATTAATGATCTTACAATTTATTTTTAGTAAAAAACTTTAACCTCATGTTGCATTTTTTATTTTAAATCAAATTAATTTAAATTTTTTCTCCTCTCCCCTCCTTTTCCTTCCAACCAAAACAGGAAGTAAAAATTAATTTTAGAACAAATAGTAGTATTTAGAAATATTTAAATAATAAAATTGCAATTTCAGTCCATTAGTCTGGTCTTTTGGTCCTTCGTGTAATCAAATGAATTTAAGAAATTGACTCAATTACCCATTTCCTAATGAAATTACTTTCCAACCGGTTAACATGTGTGGTATCGAGGTTGAAGCCTCTAGATTAAAAAAAAAAAAATAGGAAGAATGATAAATAAAAACCTTATAAAAATATCAATACCAAATTAAGAACTTCAGCATTGAAATATAGTAAAAAGAGTACTAAAATTTAAGAATATTAATGTTAAAAAAATTCTAATTTGATATGAATATTCTTATAAAATTTTTATTTGTCATTTTCCCAAAAAATATACATTCTCACTTTGCAGTCAGCCAGTCACGAATCAATGCAATTCTACATTTTTATATTTTTAAAAAAAAAAACCAAAATTACACGATTATACAAGTTTATAATTAAAAGAAAAGAAATAAAAAATTGAGGATGTGAACATTACAAGAGAATTAGAAGAATAAAAAGAAATCAATTTATCTAATTGATAAAAATTTAGCCATTGATATGAAAATCTCGTCGCTCAGCAATACTAATACCTCTACGACCAGTTTTACAACATGTTCTAAACTTTTCCTTATTTAAAAAAAAATGAAACAAGAATTCCAATCCTATGAGAGGAAGAAGCGACACAAGGGATATAAAGCTGACATGGACGCCTGAGGAGAAGACACTTGTCAGTGAAATGGGCGACGGAATAGTGTAGGAGTTTCTAGAGTGACCCATGTGAGAGCAGAACTAGACATGATGAGTATTGCTCCGTTGCATTTTCAGATCGTCCGTCAGGCGAAAGACAATGGGGAAGCAGCCGGTGAGGATGAAGGCAGTCGTCTACGCCCTGTCGCCGTTTCAGCAGAAGGTGATGAGTGGACTGTGGAAGGACTTGCCCGGAAAGATTAACCAGAAAGTCTCCGAAAATTGGCTCAACGCCTTGCTCTTCCTCTCTCCCCTTGTCGGCACCTACGCGTAATTCTTAATTTCTTTTATTCTTTTTTCTTTCATCCAAGACAAGAAGATTAAAAATCTCCAAGCATGAATCGTATACCAAGTGTTTCAACCACTGCAAGACTTCGAGTCATATGTGTGTGCTTTTTGGTCATCAATTATAAGAGTTGGTTTGAAGTATTTCTATTTCTACTCTGTAGTCTGTATGTGGCTGGTCGAAACTCAGACTTTACTGGTTGACTTAGTATATATCATGCATCTTGCCTATGAAGAATTTACAACTTCATTTGGTGTGTTTTGTGGGGTTGAGGATCAATGTAGCAGATTAACTGTTTGATTAATTGCAATTTAGAACCCAGACTTGGGATTTGCTTTGAGTGGAATCATGGGTCTCTGTATATGGAAAATTATTTGTTGTTGTAGTTTATACAAACTTACGGTGAACTAGAGTCTAGGAATGTCCCGTAGATTGTCTCTGCGCATTCTTCACGTTGAAGAGAACTTTAAAAGCTATTGTGATTGGAGGTCTAAGCCCAGGACTTAGTGTGTTCTAATTAAACCATATACATATAATCACTATCAACATGGTAAAAGTTAATGAGCAATTAATAGACTGGGTCCAAAAGAAGCGGTCGAGACTGAGAATGTTCGAATTGTTTCATGAAATTTTGCGTTGAAGGAATTAAAATGCTAATGTAAGGTACTTGTTAATTTCAAATGGATGCAGGTATGTGAAACAATACAAGGAGAAGGAGAAGCTAGCCCACCGTTATTGAAGAACATGTCGTAACTTTATTAGGTGATACATGTAATAGAGAGTTATCAGTATGCTCAAGTGTTGTATGTTAGAAGAATGTACTATGCCAACTCAGTCTATGATGTAATTACAAAATCGAAAGTTTGCTTTTGTGTTAGTATTGCCAAGTTTCTGTTTGGGTAACTGAGCTTTCCTTTGTCCTTCCTGAAGAAGGAAAAGGAAAAAAAAGGCTGACTTGAAATCTTGTCACTTATGTTTAGCAATTTTTAAATTTACGTGATTTTTGTCGAAGTTATATATTTTTATCTATCTCAGATCTGTTTGTTTAACACTATTTTTTATATAAAAATCACTTATTTTTTATAAAAAAATCTATTTTGTAATATTTTATGATGCTTATTTAAATTTTTAAAATAACTAAAATATATATTTCTAATTATTTTGATAAGTAGCTTACGAAAATAATACCATAAAATATATGAGAGAAAATGTCTTAAAAATGCGAGATATGTAAATAATTATAAAATTTTAAAATAACTAAATAATAAATTTTTTTATAAATAAAAAATATCATAATCACTAAATAATAATTATTTTTTTACAACGGTAATCAATTCTAAATTATTTAAAAATTACTTATGTTTTTTCTAACGCTTCACCTACTTTTCATCATCCAGCCAGCGTTCCAGAATGCGTAATTTTTAACTTCACAAGAGAGTGGTTTCATTACGTTATTTGATTTTTCAGAATGTTTAGGCCACAAGCCCGCGACAATTTGATGGAGGATGATCACGTTCAAAGTCAGAGGTTAATGGAGGGCCCCTGATATTGTGAACACAAGACGAATTGATAGTAAACATTCGCACGCCGTGAGAGGTAAAATTCATAGTGGTTAGCTCGAATTTTTCAACACTTGAGCCGGCTGGCAGAAATGTATACATTGAATGATTTGAATTTTAAGGCATGTGGAAGTGTAAAGTTGTATCGAGTAAAATATTGTTTTAAATTTTAATGTAAAGGTCTTTATGTAAATTCAATCAATCAATACCTATCTATAGGTTATAATTAACCCAAAATAAAATAAAAAAGAAAGAAAATTACTAGCAACCATCATAACCGGTGGCTGTGATGATGCTATCTACTAGACGTTTCCCCTATGAAACACGGATGTTTCAAACTGTCCCATAGATCTGTATTGGCATCGATGATATTGGCGCATCCGTAAAATATTAGAAAATTGTTTTTTTAATTATTTGGTAATATGTATTTGATACTTTTAAATTACAAGTTAATATTTTAAAGTCAATCATTTAAGATCATTTTTTAAAAAAATTAAATTTTATTAAATATTTTCATATTAGTCTTTTTTATTTTCAATATATTTTTATCATTTGCTTTTAAAGTCAAAGATTAAGTTTTCTTGACAATAAAAAGTAGGAATATAATCTTTTGGTGTATAGACCCTAAATTAGATATAAAAGACTATAATAATAATTAATAATTATGTTTTATTTATTATTACTATAAAAAACTATATCAATATACTAGTTCAGATATTTTCTGAATTAAAATTATATTTTAATATACGTTTCATATTATATGCGTGCGCGCGCGCACGTCAACTATGTATCTTATTGTGCATTGAATACTCGCAACCTACATCTAGTTTATTTGAAACTGCTTGAAGAGGAATACTTGTCATGTACCAGGTTCTCATTTAAAATCCACGACTCGATTTACACATATATAAATTTAAACGAAAATGGGAATATGAGGGTTTTGTGATCTAACAAAGCAAATTGGATAGTAGTAACATCCTTAGAAGTCAAGTGATATATGGTGACAAGTTCACTCAGATATTATAAATTAAGCAGAAATGACACAACAGGCACACAGACGGCAGGATGATGATGTATTTTCCATTGCATTTTTCATTTTTCTCCCCTTTTAAGTACTTACCCTTTTGTAAGTTAAGAAAGATACACTTGGACACTATCAGATTTCATCATTTGGCATACAGGGCAAACATTGACATAAGCATCACATTCCATACACAAGCACAGGTGCCTACAAGGCATTAACAACATTGAAACCTCCTTCGCCTTGCATGCCCGGCAAATCATGGCATCATCCATGCCTCGCTGCTGCTTGCCAGTAGATCTCATGGGAACACCATGGATGCTCAGCAAGTTATTGGGGTCAATGGCTGACGCAGCATCATCAACCTCGCTGTCCCCAAACCCTTCTTTCCCTTGTTCAGCTCCCTGTGAGATGGCCTGCTGGAGATTGTTCCTTAGAACATTCACGACCGACTCATTGTACTTTGCTCTGTAATGCCAGTTTTGTGCTTCCATGGCTACCAGCTTTATTTTCTCTGCTAATTCTCGGTTTCTACGGTTCATGTTCTCTATCTCCACATCTTTTTCCCTTAGCTTCTTGCTTACACCTTTGTCAATGGCAGTAAGAAGAGATGCCATGTGCTTTTGTTTCATGTCTCTCAATCCTTTTGACAATTGTTCCTTCTGTGCAGAAATCAATCACACTAAGGAGTCAGAGAAGTGCAAATATATATATACATATATGTATGTATACATCATACATGACATGATTGATAATATTCTGTAACCAAGGCACCACTTGTGTCTATAATATGTCTGAGCAATGAAGCAATCATTCGTTCCAGTGTTGAGTCCAGAATTTGTGTGTCTAAATTATGCTATAGCAATTGGAATGATGATATGAATTTTTTGTTTGTTGCAATTACGATTTCCTTCAAATAATTATATGTAACTCCCTTACCATGCATGGGGACATTAAAATTTAAAATAATATCAAGCTGCAGTGATCAAAGGTCAAATTATGGGGCTTGATTGATCTAACGAAATTAGAGACTTAACTGCTCCGACAAATAGTATAGTAGAAGGAAAACATGGTAAGCTTGTACCGCAATATGAAAGCATCAGAGTAACACAATTGATTTTGCACCTAGATGACGTCAACCAACAACTTCAAATGACAATACTGAGAGCTGAGCATAATAAATTACCTGAAGTTTAATATACTGGTCCAGTTCTTGCTTCTGCCTGTCAAGCTCAGTTTTAATATTGTCACCAAGGGATAAAATGATTGAAGGTGCACCAGTCATGCTTCCACTTGCAGAAGTGACAGATGAGTTGCGTTCATCATCATCATAAGACAACCTCAATCCTGTTGAGACGGGATTTGGATTTGCGTTTGGGTTTGGAATACTTGCTGATCGAGCAGGTTCATCTTGACAGAAGTTGTAATTTAAGGAAATCTGAAGCCTTTGCTGTTTGCACAGGTCATCCATTTCCCTGTTTTGTCTGCTTGGCCGAACCATGGAACTAATATGCTCATTTCCAAAGTAATTAACTGGATCAACACTACACCCAGCAGGTACTGCAAAAGACATTTCCCATTCATCATTCAGTCATAAGGCTAAGCATCACCAGCACAACAATAAGTCTTATCCTATTAAGTGATGTCAGTCACGAGACAAAAGACCAAGTACAAAAAATTAATCAAGGAAACAATACCTTTATTTACCATTTTTATATAAGAAATGCAATTATCAATAATAACGTGCATCAACTATGCAGTGGGTTAACAGCCATGTTATAAGCATAGCTCCAACCATAAACATCAGTCTAACCAACATAGCAGAGACATGTAACAAGTGAATCAAACATATTCCAAACAAAATATATTCAGTGAACAATTTCATTATCACCAAAAAAGAAGACATGAGAAAACTTACAGTTTCCAAACAACTGCAGTTGATTTGCTGCATTAGCTTGGTATTGCATGTGGGCATTGTCCAGGAAACCAGGAAGAACAGGATTTCCATTGTTGGCCCCTAACATTTTTCCCAGTTGAATGCCTCCTTAGCTCAAGTAACACACCTTTTAAGAAATGAAAAGAAGCTTCCACCAAATATCTACAGGGAGTAAAAGAAGGGGAGTAAATAACACAAATTTAAAATATGAAAGGTCAACTGCACGAA